GAATTTTCAAAGATGGTTTCCATACTTTGTCCAGTCCCTGAGTTATGGCAGGGCTATTACATGAACTTCAGTTAGTGGTGAGTTTACACAAACTGATATTGCACTTGGTTTAACCAAGCTAAAGTAAACTCAGTAAAACATGAGGAAGTGACTTTAGCATTTGCAAACAGTAGAATGTCTTTGTGCCAGCAAAGGTCAAATGAGGATCAGAATAGCATGGATTCTTATCTTGAAAAACAAGAGAGGTGGAGAAACATTATTCACAAGATCCAAGTCACTATAAATTTTCAGTTAAGTCACTGAAAACTATAAAAGCAGCATGTTTGATTTCTCCTGGAGAAACAGAATCACACAAATAGGTTACAGATTAATGTAATTGTTGAGATTTCAAAAACAGAAACAAAAAAGCGTATACTGAAGCCTGAACAACTGGAAGCTTCCAGACTGTTCCAATAATTCCTGGGCAGATACCTAGGTGGGTAGTGCCTGTGGGGCAAAGAGAGCTGAAAACATGCTGAACAGATTCTTAGGTTTGGAAGCAGGTTGTAGATTCTGATTAATTTTTGTCATCGGTAGGAAAATAGGTTTTTCTATGCTTAAAAACTGAATGGCCAATGGCCCCGTGTGAGATACACAGCTTCCCAGTCACTAAATAAAATAAGGAAAGAAAAAGGACAAAGATGCTTTGATGAATCCAGAAAGACTCATAAAGGAGAGAAAAAAAAAAAGAATTCATGATAAATTTGTAGCAGAACAAATTATACAAATAAGTAGAAATAAGGCCAGACTTACCACCCATCAAATAAGACTGAACTTACTTCTGCCATTAAAAGACCAAGAGTTTCAATCCAAACGTCAATGAACAGAAAATGAATATATCAGAGTACCCCATTTTAATGGATGTGTGTATTATGTGCTTGAGACCACAGAAAAAGGCCTATGACTTGCATGGTGTACAAAGTGGTAGAAAAATGTCTGTACTAGCACAGTAAAATGCCCAAAAAACACACAAACACAGTAACTGTCATTACCTATAGCAAGTGGTTTACAGGAGGCAGGGATGGACTTTCCTGTGTGACTTTGGGAACGTCTGTTTGAATCTATTACAATTTCACTTAACCAAAGAAACATGAAGATATGAGAAAATAAATGGAAGGGCAGAATCAACAAAAAAGAAGATACTGAAAACAAAAAATAGAGGCAAAAAAAAAAAAAAAAAAAAAGCAGCTAACAAATTCCAAAGTACTTATTTGAAAATTGACAAAGTTCTAGGAAGACTGATGGTGAATAACTGATGTAAGATTTGGAGGGGAAAAAAGATGAAAAATGAAGATATATCAAGTACAACAGACTTTAAAAACTTATAAAAGAATAACATAAATAACTACACAGAGGCCAGGCTGTGGCATAGCGGGTAAAGCCGCTGCCTGCAGTGCCAGCATCCCATGTGGGCGCTGGTTCAACTCCTGTTTACTCCACTTCTGATCTAGCTCTCTGCTATGGCATGGGAAAGCAGGAGAAGATGGCCCAAGTCCTTGGGCCGCTGCATCTGAGTGGGAGACCCATAAGAAGCTCCTGGCTCCTGGCTTTGGATCAGCCCAGCTCTGGCTGTTGTAGCCATCTAGGGAGTGAACCAGAGAATGGAAGACCTCTCTGTAACTCTGCCTTTAAAATACATATACACATATGTAAATGCATAAATAAATACATAAGTTAAAGAATCTCATTTAAAAAAATAACTATATAATACTAACTTTGAAAATATAAGTGAAATAAATTTCTAGAAAACAAAAATTGCTAAAACCGGCACACAAACAACAAAAGGAAAAGTGAGTAGCCATTTAAGAAGTTTAAATAAAGTCTCAGGCCCAGAAGGTTATGTAAGTGTATTCTGCCAACTGCTACACTTGATCTTACTCAAAAGGCCCAGAAACGATTCTGTCGAGTTTTTTTCTGAAATATTTATTTTTATTTATTTTAAAAGCAGAGTTACAGAGAAAGAGAGAGAGAGAAAGTCTTGCATCCACTGGTTCACTCCCCAAACTGCAGCAATGGCCAGGGCTGGGCCAGCTGAAGCCAGGAGCTTCCTCTGGGTCTCCTACGTGGGTGCAGGGCCCAAGGATTTGGGCCATTGGCTGCTGCTTTCCCAGGTGCATTAGCAGGGATTGGATTGGAAGTGGAGTAACCAGGAGCTGAACCCGCATCCATATGGGATGCCAGCACTGCAGCGGCAGCTTCACTTCCTACGCCACAGCACCAGCCCCAATTCTGCCAGTGTCTAAGGAGCAAACAATCTCCATCTTAAGTGAGTTGCTTTAGTACAGGAGTGGAGACCCTTTTTTTCTGCCAAGGGCCATTTGGATATTTTCAATAGCATTCGTGGGCCAAACAAAATTATCAACTTAAAAACTAGCCTGCTACAGACCGACTGGGTTTCAAGTCCTGCCTGTGGTTGCCTTGGCAGGACCAGACCAAATGATTTCATGGACCCTATATGGCCTGTGGGGCAGACATTTCCCACCTGTGCTTTAAAAGATAGAAAATTAGGGAAAATGTTGTCCATTAGGATTACTATAATTTTGAAATTTGGAACATAGACAATGCAAATAAAGGCAAAGACGGGCCAGTTTCACTTGTAAACAAGGATACTAAATAGAACCTTATCTAATCAAATCCAAAAGTGTATTAAGAACATATCAAGATAAAGCAATCCACTACATTAACGGACAATGGGAGAGGTTATTACAGCTCACCGATCTGTTCTCAACGGAACACCGCTGGCCTTAATGTCCCAACTGCCTCACAAACAAGGTGGGACCCATGAGACTAGCACATGAAAGCTATCTCCTACAAACCCACAGCAGCACAAAGTAGCAATTTTTAATATGACAGCACGCAAGTACTCTAGAACCAGCAATGCCTTATCTATCTGTATCTCTCTATCACCTCTCTCTGGAAAAGCCTTGTACAAGCCCATATGGAAACAGCTGAAGGGTGTTTGTTGAAGCACTGTTTGTAAGAAGAAGGAATTAAGGGACCACCGGAGGTCTATCCCCTGGGAACTGGCTAAGCACATTTGTGATGTATAATTCTGATAGAAAACTATGCAACAATCAGGAGTAACAAACTAGATGTAGGTAAAGTGACGTGGATTTAATCAAAGGCATACTGCGGTGGGAACAGGAAACAGAATGTGATTTAGCCCAACAATATGTGTTTAGATGAGTAACAGCAAAAGCAAAACACAACCTATCTTTCAAAGATACATGATGAAAGGTGACTTGAGGACACACAATAAATACGCCAATTTACTGTGTGGTTGCCTAACGTTAGGGGTGGGTGTTAGAACAGAAATGAAAGTTACAGGAGAAAAATAAAAGAGCCTCTACAGTCTGGCCCAGCCCTGAGGGTTGCGGCCACTTGGGGAGTGAGCCAGTGGATAGAAGCTCCCTCTCCCTCTCTGTTCTCTCATAAATAAAGCTTAAAAAAAAAAAAAGTTCTAAATGAAACAAAGTTATAGTGTGCCTAACCTGAAGAATAGGACAAGTTAGTTGGATCTGAGATGCTACAGAAAATAAACAAAACCCCTTTACTTCCTAATTAAAAATGTAATTTTCAAAGCTGCATCATGAGCATCACCAATGAATGATGAAGCAAGCTATGGATTGAAGAAGGAGGTGGGGAAGATGAGCCTGGTCTTCAGCTGAGTCATTCTGTTCTCAGATGCAAGACATCGAGAACCTGGGGAGGTGAGAATGCAGCTTCTGCCCACACTGCCACCCTCTCACCCACACGCGGAAGGTGAGGGCGCAGTGGCAAAGAGCATCTACTGCAGGCAAAACTCAGGTGACAGGAGGCAAGAGAAGAAGAGTTCTGGACAGAAGGAAGGTAAGTTACAAAATCAGAGTCAAAATCTAGCTTTCCGGCTCATGCAAACAGCAGCATTTTTCTAAAAACACACCCTGGGATGGAGACATGCTGTAAACATCAGGACGCTGGGTCACGTGATGTCAAAGATCATTCAGGCTCTGTCACAGTAACTCAGGGTCAGAGCCATGTGGTTAGGCTGAATCCACTTTTTTTTGGGTAAAAGGGAGTTTTTGGTATCGGCATGCAAAAACTGTCACTTCATAACTGCACCTCACGTGCCCAAAGACTCGGCCTCCGCCTTCAGCACTCAGCATCCTGCCATCTGTTCTTGTTCTACAAAACCTGCCTGCAGGTAACTTGTGCACAGGTTTTCTCTTTCAAGGGATGGGGAACACGCTAAAGGCAGGGGCTGCCTCACAGTCTTGGGGTGCAGTTACAAACTGGCTGTGTCTACTTGGTCAAGTGCAAGGGCCAGGCAACGCTCATCTTTCACACTCCTAATGGATGCCATGGACAGAAACTGGTCTGGGAACAGTTCCTGAGTGCCCCGCCCAGTCCCTGACCATCTAAACCAGCCAGAGGGTTGGGGTTCCTGCAGAGAGAGGCCCATTTCACACAAGCGTGAGCTGAGAGCAGACTCCCCAACCACACCCATGATTACCAGGTGAACTGCAGGGAACATTTGGAAAGCATCCTAGGTACACCCAAGTGCACTCAGGTGCGCCCAGGTGCATCGGAGCTGGGAAACCTAGAAAGTTAAAAAGCACACGCGGCGTAGATTCCCAGCTCCTCGGTGAGCTCGGGGAGGCCTCCGCTTGGCATTTTACTCACAACTTCAAACACCCGGGAAAGTCGATACTCTACACAAATTAAACTTGTGCCCAGGCGGCCTACCTTGCCACAACGCTACTTCGACCTCAGGCTGCCAGACCCTAGGCGCGCTTGCCTGCGGCCTCCCGGGGCTCCCCGCCCGGCCCAGAGGCTCGGGCCGCGCCTGCGACCCTCCCCACCCCGCGGCAGGGATCCCGGCCCGCCCGGCCAGCTCAGCCGCGTCTGCGAGCGCCTGGCGTCCGGCCCGCCGGGTCCGCAAGGAGGAGCCCGCGAGGCGGCCGCCAAGGGGCTGCGCTTACCTCGCCCGGCGCGGGCCGCGGCCCTGGGACCCCGGTTCCGAGCCGGCCGCCGCCGCACCCCCGAGCCCTTCGGCCGGATCGCAACTGCGCCGGCTCTGGTCACGGCCGCTTTATTTTCCTCAACGACCGCGGCAGGAAAGCGAAAGCGAAAACCTCCGAGGGGCGGGGGCGGGCCTGGGGCCGCGCGGCGGGGGCGTCGGCCCCGGGTCTGCGCGCGCCCGGCCCGCGACGTCGGGGCTGGAGCCCGGCAGCCCGCGTGGGTCGCGCGCTCAGGTCTCGCGCGGGCTGCGGCTTCCCGCCTCGGCCCCTCAGTCTGTGTCCACTTGGGTCTCGGGGCTGGTGGCAGACCCGGACCTGACCGCTGTGGCCCGAGGAGGCGGGTGCTGGCCTGGCCAGCTGGGACCAGCTGAGAGGTGCCGGTTGGAGCGGACTTGACCCTGAGTGAAATGCGGACTCTTGGTTTGATAAGAAAGCCCACAGTTTGGACTGTGTGGTGGTCTTCGATACCCGAGAGTTTAGAGATCCCAGCATTCAAGCTCTGGCTCTGTGTCTCGCTGGCTGTGTGCTTCGGGACAGAGTATTGACCCCAGTAGCCGTGGTGTCTTCCCCTGTAGGAGGTGGGGGTGATAATCACCACTGCCTCCGAGGGTTAGGAGCCCCTAGGTGGGCTCGTCCAGAGCGGGATGGGTGGCCACTTACCTGTGTACCTGGTGGAGGCTCTCCCGAGGCCAGCCGACCTCACTGGAGGCGGCTGCAGTACTTCTCAAAGTCTGGCTGTGTTGTCCTGACTTGGAAGAACGGAGGGGTCCCTGCAGTGTTTTTCGGGTGAAGCCTCAAACTTAGCCCGACGGTTGTCCCTGCAGCTTTGCTGCTGGGCAAAGCTTTTGTTCAGAGCAAAACACTGTCCCAGCACTGTTTTGAAAGATTTATTTATTTATTTGAAAGGCAGAGTTAGAGAGAGACAGAGAGAGGTCTTCCATCTGCTGGCTCACTCCCCAGATGGCCACAACTGCTGGAGCTGCGCCAATCCAGAACCAGGAGCTTTTTCCAGGTCTCCTGTGTCGGTGCATGGGCCCCAGACTTGGGGGCCATTTTCTACTGCTTTCCCAGGCCATAGCAGAAAGCTGGGTTGGAAGCAGAGCAGCCAGGACTCGAACCGGTGCCCATATGGAATGCCACGCTGCACCCACTATGCCACAGCGCCGGCTCCTGTCCCAGATTTTGATGCAAATCATTACAGCGCTGTGTGGAGGCCTTTGTACTTACTTGCTTTTGGAAAATGTTAATAAGACTGCAGATTCCAAACATGATTTGCCTTATGTGTGTGTGAGATAGAATAAACATAGAGCAGTCTGATAACTGGAAAGAAAAGCAAAATAAACGGTTTAATCTGCCCAGAGCGTCTGCGGTTTGCCTGTTTGTGAAGTGGGCCCATTCCCAGCTTGCTGAGGCCTGGGGCTGAGACTGATGTCAGGGTGTTTGGTGTCTCCTGGAGAGTATTTCCCTAAAGAGTGGGTGGAGACGTGGGGCAGGCCAAATGGTGACCCTTAGAAAAACAGCCTGTGTGTCCGCCCTCAGAAGAGGATGCTTTTGGTCTGTAATATGAAGGGCAAGGAAAAAGAAAAATGTGGAAGATCAAAGACAGCTCTGGAAGCGCATTCCTCATTGTACAGCAGTTCTTGGCTCCATGCAAGCACAGTACAGCGAAATCTGCTTCTGTGTGAAAAGTAGGTCTGGGAAGACGGAGGTCAGGAAAACAGGAGGCGATCCAGGCAGATGAAGCCACCTCCTGCTTGCCTTGCGTAGACATCACTCACGTGAACGGAGGGTGCCCGGAGGTAAAAGCTTGCATAGGGTCTTTCGTCTTGGTGATTCCCCAAGGTCCAGATCTGGGCCTTGACCTTGTGGGACTAAAATGCCATCTAATTTTGTGTTCCAAGGCCGATAAGCACTGTTACATGTATGTGTATAACATGTATATACAATCAGAATGCCAGCTGAGTGACTGCATTCATCACTTGCTAAACCATATACTAAGTGCATTACATGCATCGCTTCATTATTCTCCCTTCAATCCTACAGTATATTCTAATCTGTTTTTCATTTGGGGGAAAAATGAAACAAATCCCCATGCTCACACCATTAGCATGGTTGTTAGAGCCAGGATTTGAACAAAACCTAGTACTTAGGAATTCCTGTTAGAGGCAAAGCTATTGAGAGCACGGGGCCTTTGAGGCTGCCTGATGAGTACACTTTTCATAGCCATGCAATTTGGAGCCTGATGATCAGAAGGCGGCTTGGTGAGGTTAAAAGCAAAATCAAACGAGTGAGTTATCTGATTTAAAGTGTCCAGTGATATCAGCCTTGGGCAATGTCATGACTTTCTCCACAACATGTGCAAAACCTGCCAGGAGGACTGTTCAGTTATCTCTGTGGGTCTGGCCAGCCCATCTTCTTGGGATGGGGCCTGCTGGACACTGTGTCCCCGAGTTTCTCTTTATTATGTTATCCTTTCTGTTCCTCATCAGATGGACTTTTTTTTAAGTAGAGCAAGGCCTTACTGATTAATATTACTTAGTAAGTTCTCAGAGCCCTTATTTTTTCATATTTGTATTTTCATCTTTGATTAACTTCTAAAGGGCCACTTCCTTTCCCACCTCTCTGGAAGCACCTCTGTTGTTTGGATCCTACAACAGAAGTTTGCAGCAGCAAGTTTTGCAACAAACACTTTATCTGGAGCTGCAATGACTGTCAGTGAAGATACAAAAAAAAAAAAAAACCAAAGATCCAAGTCTGGGGTCCACAGAAGGGGGCGGTGGGGGCACTGCAATGCCCCTGAAGGACATTACAGATGGAAAGGAGGAGTGGTGTGGGCAGCATCTAAGTTAGACAGAATCTGTGGTTGGGAAAGAACCACCTGGTGTGCAACGCGAGCAAAAATTTGAAAAGCAAATCACCCTTTTAGATACATCACTCATCAAATATTCTGTGCCCACTGCAAAATACAGCCACCTTGTGAACGCTGGAGATGCCATCATGAGACAAGTCGGCATAGCCTCTGCCATCAGGAAAGCACTGATCAGTGAGGTCGTCAGACCACCACATAAGCAAATCGAGAACAGCATCTGAGTGCTCCCGAGTGCATTCAATGCTGCGAGAGGGAATAACAGGAAGAACTCCCCACGAGGTGAACTGTGCTCTGGGGCTTCCGGTCGCCTGGCCAGTGCTCTCAGAACGGCTCTGCAGTCAGAGGCTCTTCTCACTCGCCCTCCTTCCTTCTCCTGGCCCCTGCGCAGGTGTTGGACCTGCACCATAGTCTGAATCTCTGTTCACTCCACGTCCTCCCCTGTATCAATCACGACCATTTTCCTCAGTAAATTATTACATGTTTAATTCAATCAGCATCACTGAGCTGGAGAACCTTGCAAGAAGCCCAGGGTTTGGAGGGCTTTATTTCTGCAGATGATGGGTGAGGTGCTGGGTGGGCAATGAACCGCCTCCCTGCCCCTCCCCTCTCATAAGACATGTATGCTTGTGCCTGGGTACTAAGCCCTCAGCCACAACCTCCGTGCAGGCAAGGGTCTGGTCTTGTTTTCAAAAGTGGCTCCATGGATAAAATCTCCAATCCTCAGTTTAGGACTCAGTGCTACCACTGCTGCCCTCTAGAAAAATACAAACCACCAGCAGCTGAAAATATCCTTTAATTTTCTTTAGGAGTTAAAAGTCCAAACATTGAAAGGAAACGAGCAGTTGTTCCTGAACTGTCAAAAGTGAGTAGTTTTTCTCTGGGGAACCCTTGCTAGCTGGGAAAGGGAGTCCTCTCTCTAACTGTTGTTTAAGGAGAGCACTTTCCTATTTGGCAAGCTGGGTGGAAATTGCTGCCACTCTCTGAGAAAAGGCGCCTAGCGCGGCCAAAGGCGTTCTTGCTCTTGGCTCAGCCTCCCTGAGAAAGCTGGGTGGCGCAGGCTGGTCCTTCCTAGAGGTTCAGTGGCCAGCAGGTGGCCTGAGTAAACCACCTGTGCTAGGGCAGAACTGCAGAATCTCTGGTCCACCGCCCATCTTCCTCTAGAAGTGGGCATGAGTACAAACCCTGATTACCACCTGCGTGTTGGAACCCAGGGTTCTCTCACCAATGGGGCATTTCCTTCACCAACGGTGCATCCTGGACAGCCCATGCCCATCTCAAGCTCGAGTGTGGAGGCTGATGGGATGGTGAACGCGATTTGTTCCCAGGCTGTCAGGCAGCCCAGCTGCCACCTGTCTGCTTGTACAGAAAAGACAAAGGAGATGGGGGTTCCGTGAGGAATGTTGTCCTGAGGGCTTGGTCAGGAAGGGATGTATGAGTATAAGGACTTGGCAAATAAACCAACCTTGTACATGTAAAGTGAGTGCTCTATTTAAGTACCTTAGGGCTGGAAAAGTCTGTCTTCACCTCCAAATGCAGTCACAGCAGAAGAGATCCAGGACTAATTACTCGTGCACACGGGAAACGACTGGCAAACTGCTGTTATCAGATTTGGCATTTCTGAGCACTTTGTGCATGATATAATTTTTAAAAAAAGATTTGTTTGTTTACTTGAAAGGCAGAGCCACACAGAGTGAGATCTTCCATCCACTGATTCATTCCTCAAATGGCTGCAATAGCCAGGACAGAACCAGCTGAAGCCAGGAACCAGGAGCTTCCTCCAGGTCCCCCACATGTGCGCAGAGACCCAAGCACTTGGGCCATCTTGCACTGCCTTCCAAGACACATCAGCAGGGAACTGGATCAGAAATGGAGCTGCCAGGACTCGAACCAGTGCCCATATGGGATGCTAGCGCTGAAGGCCAGGGCCTTAACCTGCTGAGCCACAGAGCCAGCCCCACAGGGCTAATTTTAATTTTAATAGAAACCCCATGAGATAGATAATGCATTTTATTGTTGAGGAAATTGAGTTCCAGAAAAGCTAAGAAACTTGCCCCAAGTTATAGAGCTAGCAAGACAGAAAGGAAGAATTACAAAGAGAGGGGAGAGAGAGAGAGAGAGAGAGAGAGAGAGAAATTAATCTTCCATCCACTGGTTTACTCCTCAAATTGCTACAACAGCTGGGATGGGCCAAGCTGAAGCCAAGAGCCTGGAACTCCATCCAGGTATCCCAGGTGAGTGGCAGAAGCGTCTCCATAATTCCAGCCCCAGTTATGGATTTTTCATGGATGGCTTCTATCATGTTGAAGAAATCACCTTCCATTTTCCAGTT